CGCCGACGGGTACACAAGGTGATCCCTCAGCAACCCCACGGTTATCGAAGTACCCCCTCCGTTAGTCGGCAGTCCGGGGCACTGTGTGTCCGAGTGGATCGCAACGCGATTTTGTGACAATCACTCCACCACAGTGCCCACCACCCAGAGACTAGTTCACGCCAATCAAAAGCGCACTTTTACAGATAGCGCGTAGTTTCCGCAGATCTCTGTAGGCTGTTGTGTAATCTTTGTGTCAATACCCTTCTTGGTTAGTGGGCCAACCATGCCAGACATTGCGCAGTATGAGTGCACCAGATCGCGTGGAAGCTCATGTAGCTCACTGAGCACTTTATCGCGACCCTGAAGTGCAGTGAAAACGGAATACGCCTCTATAGCAATCGCATGGATGATAAAAACAACACATCACCACGAATCCTCTGGCGCACAAGTTGGGGCTTTTCTTTTAAATGTTGACGTATTTGAAAGTGATTTTTCATTAACCACTGAGTGACAGTGCTCATAGAAATCCAACGCGTATTTGCCACACGAGGACATTCACCCCCCCCCCCCCCTGCATGTTGCCGACCAAATCTTCTGACGCCGCAAGTGACCACTCAGCCCCGTCAATGTTGATAAACTTGTCGTCCATTGCACTCGAATAGACACTCTGCATCACTAGATCAAATTGATGAAGGCAGGGCGCACACACGTTTTGCAGCCGAGAAGTGACGCCACTTGCTTCTCCCGTCATGTTTGAAGCACCGTCAGTAGATACGGCAATTTCGACATTTAGCGAAAGAGCACGTCAAACATGTACTCGTCAGTGTGGCGTTCAAGTAACGGGTTATTAATTAATATCTGTTGTCGAAATGCCGAACGCCTATTGCTCACAGAATATGCTGAAAACGTGTTGCTACACCCGTAAAATATGCCGCTCCAAGCACAACCCTAGTCTCAACAGAAAATCAGCGCTAAAATCTTACCACTTTATTCTTAGCATTCAAAAGCTGAATCGTTCTAGTTCGCTATTTATATTTAAATTAGCAATGTAACGTTCC